CACGGCTATCGGCTAGTTTCACCTCGTAAAAACCTCGAAAACTCCAATGTGCTTAGATAATGTTTTATATGCTAAGCTAAGGGCAATATACGTAACCACGTAATTTTAAATTTTAAGAACACTTTGACGGTTTTAAACGGTTTTTTTGAAGTTAAATAAAAACGGAAATAAGTTAACTAATATATAACCTGTTACTAATATTTATATCATATTAGATATTGTATAATACAATTCGAACTATTTTGTCTTAGAAAAAGAAAAATCTATGCTTCATTCACTGGCGTTTTCCCCACCTGCCGATTCCGTAAGCTTTCAAAATATTGTTTAAATGTCCGTTGCAAAAATCCTATCCGTATATATTCACGTACAAGAGAACATTGCGTTTTTTTTTCATGAAAAATTTTCCCAATTAAGTTTTACATTTCGTTATTTCAATACGTAACAAAACCACAGATGCGCATATGTTTTTCCGTGGTACTTTATTTATATAAGAATTTTGGATGAGAATAAAAATAGTTTTGTAATACGAAATTACTTATTGAGAAACTTGCAACTGACAAAGTGAATTTAATAGATACATCAACCTCCTCACCGAACGCATTTTTAACAGTTTAAAACGCGAAGTACATTTGTTAATTAATATGTGCGTATCACTGGCGGAAACTACATACAGCACAGTGATCTAGGCTTTCTGTATAAATTTCGGAAGTTCGATCACCAACATATAAAATATATCGTCTGGAATATGGTGAACATTGAACAGGTGGTAAGAATATCAATATTTCGTCTAGGCACAAACCACTGTCTAAAGATAAAAAAATATACTATAGTCTGCGTTTTAGTTTTAGTCTATGGATTTCCAAATGTATATGCGAAAATAGGTCGACCTTGATTAGAAAACCCTGCCAACGTGGGGTATTTACTTTTCATCAAGTGTCATACTTGTCTGTCCACCTCTGTACCAAAAAATTACAATATAAATTCTAACAATAATATAAATCATATTGCATGTTATATGGTACTTTTAAGCGAGAAGGCCGAAGTAGTTCGAAGCTATAAATAATTTTATCTGGATTTAAATCTCGCTACGAACTTTCGTAGTGTGGTGTGTCAAGGGCGAGCTGACGTGATAACGGATTCCAATGTTTACACTAGAATAGCTAATGAATATAAGGACTGTTAAATCAGAAACAAATGAATAATAAAAAGATAAGGATGCATTATTTGATTCATGGTCATAAGACCTTCAACAGTTGAAAACCTTAATTAAAGAAAAAATCTTTATGTGTTGCTTAGAGTATTTATCGAGGAACTAATAGGAGCGAAGAAACGGCGGGGAATGTGGAGAAAACGGGGAGAATTTTTTATCTTTTTGGGTTTCCGTTGCGTAAGCTAAGAAAACGGTTCAAGATACCCAAAAAATATATATGAAAGAATGATTCATCTTTAAATGACCTAAGAAAATGTCCGCGAGACATTATATCTAGCTTTCGGACGCGACCGATGTCGTAGTCAATAGACAAAATTGATACCCAAAGTTACTAATCTACGCGAATCAAGTCTCTGACACAGCTAGTTGTAAAATATATATAGTATAAATTAAATATAGCCTTTATGGTACTTATAGTCTATTTATTATATTGCACAGGTGCCTAGGCAATTTGCCTTTTGACCTCAAAGTCGGGGTGGGGTGGTGACGGAACAACAATTCCAAGACGGAAGCTGTGGTAAACACGTTACAACGCCGTCGCCGCTCCTCTATAAATAGTTGAAGCATATGTGCGTTGGTTCTATATTTAGCGTCATACAACTACACAAGATGCAAATAAATATCTCAACATGCATAAAATATGTGTACTCTAGACATACTAGTCCCTCAAGTAACTAGTAAGTCATGGCATTTTCAGCACATTTTAAATATTATAATAACAGTTAGTGTATAGCATTATTTTTAACCGATTTGAAATAAAGGAGGTAATCAATGTTATCCGCGCAGAACAAGTTTGTATGGGTGTCAATTTGTAACTCTTTATTCATTAGAAATTTAAGCCACCCACGACGTTGGTAACGTCCCGTCGTTCTTGCAAGTTTAATCTTAAAATATAGACGTATATTGTCGCGAAATTTCTTTTACATCGATTAAAGGGGAATCAATTCTTTTTCACACACATATCGCGGACCACTTTTGTTTAAAAAATTATTGAATATTAAATATTTTTTTAGCTATATCACACCTATAAAAATTGCGCTGTCGGCCGGTTTTTGGACTAAACCGGCTATGTTTTAAAAGTATTCCACTACAGCATGATAATCGTTAGCCCACTAAAACGTAAATTCTGCGTATCGAAAAGCATCTAAAATCGAGAAATATCCCACTAAAAGTGCTAATATCTGAAAAGTTACTATTTAAATTTGCTTTCAATTAGCCAGTTCGGGCTAAAACGGTGGCAAATTCACGATTAGTGAAGTGAAATAGCGTTTCTAATTAATAACGCAAACTCAATCAGAACGGAAACAATCGGAATACTAAATAGATATGACATGTAAGAGTTACGATAACGCTATTTATAATGCTATTTGAGTATTGATGTGTGGGTTCAATTAATCAACGTATTAGACAGATTTAATAGTTATCTGTGGTTTTGGATTATCTATATTTAAATAGCATACAACATAATAATATAAAAAGTACAACACGGTATATTAAAAAGCGTTGTCCGTGACTTTATCCACATGGAAACATTATTTTCGCAAACTACCGCCTCAGCTCCATAAATGATAGCCGTTGCCCACGACGTCATCCCCGTCCTTCTTGCGAGTTAATTAAAAAAAAGGCTCAGTAGTAAGTATTTTCTCTACTACTGTACTAGACTGTGTGTCGCTGACATTTTTTTATCTTATTTTATAAGTAACTTATACATTGTTTGGATTTCTCTGACCGTTTTTCGCAGCACACGCAACGGAAACAATCAAAGATGAATATTTTTTCCCGTTTCCTCCACATTTCTCTCTTCTTCGCTCCTATTAGCAGCCTGATTATTTATAGCATAAAGTCATACTCGATAAATGCTCCAACAAACATGAAATTTTTCAACTCGAAGCAGAAGTTCGTAAAATAAACGCGTTCAAACAAAAAAACAACCTCTTCAGCTTTATAATATTAGTATAAACTAAATCATATCGTTTAAGTGGTGAAAGAAATACTGGCGAAGCTGCAATTAAAGCTTGGAATTATAAATAAACCGCTTGGATAGTTTGGCTTTTTAAAAAATGGCGAACGTAATTCCTGACGTCCTGGCTTCGTCGTGAAACTACTATTATCGAGGATCTCAAAGTGGTTAATTATACAAATAAAACAGACTCAATTGCAAAAGTATCTCCTAATTAGAAAGTCTCTTAAAATAGTCTAATTGGATAAATTTTATAGCAACCGTTGTATCCTTCCGAGTGGTTAGTCTTAGTCCTATTCGTTTAATTAATACGTTTTAAAGTATATTTTATTTAAATATACTTTAAAACATTCAAATTAAAATATTGATAGAATAAGGTCACTTGAAGAAATATAAAAATCGAAATTCAAAAACCGTAATTTAAAAATCGAAAATAATTAGAAAAAATCTTCGACTTGGGCAGGACTTGAACCGGCATCGTCAGCGTTCCGTGCTGTTGCTCTACCAATTGAGCTACCGAGTCCTACACATCTCATCGTCGTTTTTTTTTTAATTTATTGATATATGCAAATCAAGCGCAACGTAATCTCAACCTTGATATTTGAGTATTAAGATTGAAATTACAATGCAAGAAATTTATATTCCATTTTTTTGTTTAAATTTTTTTTCGATGTTTAAATTAATGTGACATGATGTGTAACATGTAAAAAGTATTAAAAAGTAAACTACCTACTTATTTTGGACGTATAGCATTTAAAAAAACTCTAGTTTCAAGGTTCAAACTTCTATTTTGCTTATGAGGCATTGTAATATAGACTAAAAATGGTTAATAATCAAAAAATATAAATTACATTTAATATGTTACTTATTACCCACTCAAAATGTAATTGGCGTCATTCATTTAATTTTAAATTACACTTTTCACCCTACATCCAAAGCGTCAAAAACGTCGGGCCGTAGTTGAAAGAGGTTGTAAAAAAAGTTAAGTAAAACTTTTCGCGTTTTAAATCTAAAAAAAAGAATAAATACAACATTCCTGCCTCTTAACAGTTGGTTTATTATTCTATTGAGATAATTGTCGCGACATACACCAAAGATTTACCGTATTGAAGTACGCGATTCATTCAAGTCCTGCAATTTCACACCGTCTTTGGAATTGTACGATTTTCATGGTGACATCGGCCTCGGCCATACCGTAACACAATTACCGGTACGCGAGGTACCAAGACGTTGGTTCTACTTCAAGATCTTCACAGCTAAACGTTCTAGCCACCTTTGACACACAAAACGCCACAAAGCGTAGCCATAATGAATGCGTTCTCCTTTTATGTTTTTTAATTTTATACGCCGCGATCGTCGTAGAAAGGCTTGCATTATTCATATTTTTTTGCTGAGTTATCTTTTTAAATAATATACTTGAATAATATTTAATTTTTATTTGAAAAACATACTTAAGACAAATTGTTCAGTTAATAAAATTTTTGTATCCCTAAAATTTAAAATCGAACTAAATGTCCGTCTAGCGTTTGTTTGTTACAACCTTATTTTCTCACAAGTGAATAGTTGTCGAATTGCTTCGTTATTAGATAAATATATTCATTAAAGAAAATCACTAAAAAGATTTTAGGAATTAATATTAAAATGATTTTATATTACTTCTCAATACCAGGGAAACAATATATTGCTTTGGTAGGGCTAGGCACAACAGTCTGATCTAAAGAATTAAAAAAACTGAAGTAAACAGTGAATCGGACAAAAGTGTGTTCCCCCCATGCCCCATGGGGGTAAACGGGATTTCACTCTTTCTTAGCCAATAAAAAATAGCCTTACCTGATTCAACCTCGAATCCCCACTGACCGTGTAGACACCTCTACATTCCGTGACCTCCTCCGGCTTGTCCGTAGCACTGGGTCTACGACAGCACGCCGCGCACACCGCTACGAGTACACCGCAAAGCGTAGCACTGTAAAGAAACGGAATTCGTAGCAAAGGTCGTAGCTGAATAAATTTGACAACACAATTGGGTCTACTTTTATAGCCATTATCTAATAAAGATGTGCTGCAGAGCTATATTAAATTTAGATATTTGACAATTCACCGACTGACACCGAAGCGCGAATTTACACGGCTTTGTCAAATGCAGACAAATCCAATTACAACAATAGTATTCAATAAACCTGTATTTAAATAAATCACTAACGGTTTAAAACGCGGTACATATTAGTTAAACTTCTTTGAATTCTCTTTTAACTACGGCCCAGCGTTTTAGATGCTTTTCAGCAACCATGACGCGTTTTAATCCGTCAAACTACTCGCGTAAACTACATATTACGTAAATACTGTCTATAGTTTACGCGAGTATTACACATTTAAATAAAACACTTTAACGGTTTAAAACGCGATATATTAGTTAATCATTTTCAAATAAGTTTAACTAATATATCGCGTTTTAAACCGTTAAAGTGTTTTACTTAAATACATATTACGTATTTGGACCTTTATTTGTTAAATCTAGATTATTAACGAATTGAAGCAAACACAGCGTGCAATAATTATTATTGAAATATACATTTCATTGTAATTGGTATGTGATACGCTGTGTAATTATCCAGCGTGTGGTATTGTGTTCCTCAGTATAAATTGAACAGGGCAACAATATAATGTATTATCCAACATGTATTAACAATATATATTTCTCCCCGTGACCACGGCTGATGCAAAGCATCCGAAACGTCGGGCCGAAGTTAAAAATCATTTCCAAAAAAGTTTAACTAATATATCGCGTTTTAAACCGTTAAAGTGTTTTATTTAAATAATGTATTATTATTTGTTGAGATAAACTAAGCTTTATTTCATAAATTCCCATACTACTATGCTTTTTCATTAAAAATAGTGGTGATACGACAAATCCTACCTACCTTTTGAGGATTTTATATGCAACAGCGCAACAAGTTCGGCGAAGGAAAATTCTGTAAGGACACAGTCACACTGGCTTATATCATCACTACATGGTATAAAACAAAGACCCTTACATTTTTAAAACTACGCAACAGATTTTGATGCGGTTTTAAAGAGATAGTGATTCAAGAGGAAGGTTTTTTTAGACAACGTCGTCGTAGTCGTTCATTTTTGGGTCGCTAGTTGATATTTTTACGTTTGTTATTAATAAAATTACATTGTTGTATATAATAAAATTTAATCCTACACTAGTTCAATAAGTTAATTGAAAAGTTTAAAATGTTTTCCAAAAATAAGCACAAGCAAATATTGAAACGGCGAACGTTCAGTGTAGACGGGAAACTAATTGGACGTCTAGTGACGGGACGAGCTGCAAAATGTCACACCAGTATCGATTTATCTTTTACTATTTAATATATTTAACACGAACTAGTGTTGTCATCGCGTAAAACATGCGCAATGTACAGATACAAGGCGATTCGCATAACTGTGTTACGATTTACCACTAGACAGAAGTATTGTCTGCACATTAAGCGAGTAGTAGACATTTAAATAAAGCACTTTTAACGGTTTAAAACGGGAAACATATTAGTTTTTTTTTTAAGATACACGGTCATCCGTATCGTCGCGCTGTAGTTAAAAATAAGCTATATACTTATATATTTCGCGTTTTAAACAGTAAAAAATGTTTTATTTAAACAAGAAGGAATATACACTTATTCTGACAACAACATAAAGATATTTTTACCTCTTCCACTTAATTGATTAAAAAAATGGCTTCACTAAATTCTTATAAAATGTCAGTTAAATTTTTATTACTTACTGACTACGATTTTATTTTCGTGTCGTTCAGTTCGAAGACGAGATACCAAGCCCCATAGAATAATTAGGATGCGCTGTCGGCCTATTTGGGTTTGATATTTGTCTCTTAAACAGTATTGATTATATTATCATTCATTTAAAAAAGCATATATAATTTTTTATGTGTCATCTTCATAGAGAATCTTTTGTCATTATATAGTTAAAACTTCAAAACTGGAACACCGGCATAGAGGAACGAAAAACAATGCCTAGGTAATGCAATATCAACATTAAAATTCTTTGAAAGCTCCAATAAAGGCCGAGTTGGGGCAGAATATATGGTTATTCATACCGAAAATTGAAATTTTATCTAGTTGACGCCTGCATTTATCCAGATTCATCAGCTTTTTAAAACAGAAGCGTATTTATTAGATTGTGTCGGAACTTTAACTTAGATAGGAAAAATGAGAAAAGAGATTATACAGAAACGATTTCTTTTTACGAATGTTTTTCTTTTACCAGCCCGAAATTTGGAAGTAGATGAGCGACATCCACATGCTTCAGAGAGTACGTTAATCGATTATTATCAATGATTTTATGACGGTAGTTGTAAAATTTGACCAACCCTCACTGGAGTGGCATGGTGGATCTCGGCTTAAACCATCTGTCCAATACTTACAAGCAACGCAACGTTATATGAGTTAAAATTATTTTATATATACCGTTATTTTAGGTGGTTGAAATTTCGCTCGAATCACCAACTGATAAAAGCCGTGACACATAATCTACCCCCGCGTGATGACTTGATGAGTAGTAACAAATTGCATATTTTAATAAGTTTCTCATTTAAGTGATTTTTGTAATCTAAATGGGAAATAAATGTCTCTAAACCGAAATAATGTAGAACGACACATAGCATATATATTGTTTCATGAAAGCATCGCGTGGGCGCCAAATTAAATAAATCTCATTGAGATCTCGGACAAAATCCAATAAAACTTTATTAGTTTTGATAAAGAGTAATTACACAGATTAGATGTTGCGCGATACGAGGTTCGCGTGCTTTTTGACAATTTCGTTTTTTAACACAAGTTACACTGCGCGAGAGCTGCATTAATTAATTTTATTTAGGCAATTAAGTGGTTTTTTTTTCTTATAATATGTTACTGTGACGTTTTTGTTCGTTTCCTGTATTCTTAAATGAATAAACGTACTTATTTGACATAATCTCAAACTATCTTGCTTGTGTTAGCTTCTGATGGGGCCACAGAATATCATTGATGGGCCATTACTCCCAACGTAGCTGTGTGATCCTTTTAAGCAACTATAATATGTCTTCCGTGATCATGGCTACTGCTAATCATCCGTAACATCGGGCCATAGTCAAAGTAATTTGTAAATAAGTTTAAAAAACTACATTTCGCGTTTTAAAAGTTATTTATTTATAACTTTATTATTGCATTTTATCTGTATATAGCTATATTATATTTGTCATTCTTCTGATATTATGCTAAAGTGTTGTTTTTGATTTTACTTTCGCCAAAAATCAACTACGAAACAGATGGCGCTAGCGTAGCAGATTTGACTTTAACATTAGGGCCCCGTGACTACGGCTGCTGCAAAGCATTTAAAACGTCGAGCCGTAGTTGAAATTGTAAATTATTAGCGAAATATATTTCGCGTTTTAAACCGTTAAAAGTGTTTTATTTAAACGTATCTCTATTATATTCCATTTTCTACACTAGTGTCCGTATTTATTGCTTAAGAAACCCTCTCGTCGCATACCTTGTTATTTCGTAGAGAAAACATTTAACCCAGTTACAAGAAGGTAATTGAAATTACCACACACTCATTAATTCCCGCGGCCCCTCTCCGGGGATGACACAAAGCGAAATGTATTCGGTGTGAATACGAATTTGGTGACGAAGGTCAGGGATTCGGTTCTATGTCACTAGTGTTTTTATTGCACCTTTTTGATCGTTGCTTCAATTGTATACACAGTTCGTTTTCAGTTAGGTTCTAAGTGTCTAATGTAACTCTTTTGAAAAATCTGAGCAATGGGTTCGTGAGTCGTGATAGTTATTTGAAAACGATATTTAGAATTTATTGCTCACTCATGTTTTAAATTTGTTAGGCGGTTTCAATCTGTAGACCTTAGTAGATTATCAGAAACAATCCAAAGCCCAAAATAGGTCGACAACGCAACAACGATGTCTGGCTAGGGATTTTCACCTACCATCTAGTGAACCCTGTGGTCGACGAATATTTTTCACTATTGCTCATCTATGCTAAACTAAGCTATGAGGTTTTCTCGAATCAAATGAATTCTAAATCTAACTCCATTCATTTACTTATTTTCTATACGCGTCACGTAAAATGTTAAATTATTACGTCTTATTTACGCTGACGTAATAAATCAAAGGTCTTATCGTGTCACGTGACGATAAAACGCATTTTCTTATCTTACGTTGCTCGGAGTTAAAATTCTGGCTGTGTACGCGGATTAAAGTTGCAATTCAAATGCGTGACGTCAATAGGGCTGCCACCTTTGACAATATATTTTAACTATGACACTGTTTAAATATGAAATTATGGAGCTGTGATTAAAAGTAAAGCATTCGTTACATGTAAACTTACGGTACATATAAAAAATATGTGACATTTTTCAATGGTGACAACCCTGCGTCGTGCTACCTTATCGGGCTTATAGTGACGATGAACGATTATCCACTGGGACTCCGGAATATGACTTTTGATAGCCTATTAAGTTGAGTTAAATGGGGCCTTCTATAAATGGAGAAAGCACCTTTGTACGTATATCGGCATTGAGCTAAAAATAAATATAGCTGGCCTTGTGTATATATGTATATCCTAGAACGTGGACCTTTGTTGCGTGGTAAAGTTTGTTAATGGTAAACTATTGATGTTCCTTATAAACAAACAATGACCTTATAGTTCTGATATTTATCTTATTGTATAACTATTGTGTATCTTCACCATATTAATGAAAGAAAAAAGATAAAAGTTTTTTTTATGTGTACTAATCGCTATTTAAAAACTACAATAGTGTATATAACTAAATACAGACAATACTTAATACTAGTCAAGCTTTGGAATTGAATCCAATGAAAAAAATACCGCGGGTTTATAATCTCTATACTATATTTTCACTTATGAACTTCTTCTTTCTTGAATTTTTCATGACAAAGGTGGAGGTCGAATCCACAACTAACATGGTACTGTCTGCTCTAAGAACAGAGTGACTCTGCTACCGAGACACACATTTCAAAATAAATTTCCCAATGTTAAACAAGTGATTTTATGTGATCTGTCTTCGTATAGTTCTGTTTGGTAATTGATATAATGGATCTGGTTCGGAACTCTTGATGGACGACCGATCCTTTGACATTTAAACTGCTTTTAGTTTTACGTATAAAAATAAATGTTTAATATGTCTGCTTGCTATTAGATCATAATTTCGTATAAATTAATATTTTTTTAACTTTTGTATACAAAAATACATAATAAAGGCCTTATCACTATGAGCGATTTCTTCAAGGCAAAACGACTAGAAAGAATAATATCAATGACGTGCAAGAAGTATGAAACTCGCCAACGATTTAATAAACTGTACACACTAATCTTAAAATAATAATATTAATAAAAAGGGCATATACCCATATAATAAAAATTTGAGAAAAAAAATAAGGTATAGGGCGATAAGGACAGAAATTGCGTATATAGGAGACTTTTGCAGGAAGTCTAAGAAGGCCTGCACTATTTTTGATAATATACACGATGTATGCAACCTTTTGTATGTTTACCGATAGACCTATACCAAACTGTGGTTCAGGTGAGGTTAATAACTGAACCTGTCAAATTAGAGTAACAGTACCAACACTTGCTTAGTGTTGGGTAAACTCTACTGATTTTAATACGACTGATATATATATATATATATATATATATATATATATTATTAACTGGCCGAGGCCTTAAGTGAGTTTACTAACAATTCAACGTCTAATGACTTTATTTCAATGTAACAAGTCGATAAAAGTTAAGCGTAATTTATTAATTATTGATACTTGTATGTAGATTATTGATTTTCTCGATCGACCATTGCGCCACCTATCGCAGGTTTCATCAGTGCCCATTTTCTAACCGTTTTTTATTTAAATTTCGAATGTAGCCCGTAACTTTTTCTAGATAAAACACGTTTAAATGCTATCAAGGCTGATATTAAATTGAAAAATTAACATAAAAAACATCGTAACTCTTCATTGATATAAGAAGTCTGTCACAGGCGGACCTAGAACTCACCACCATAAACTTACATACTTCTAGTTTTAACATGGTAAGACGGAATAGGCTGGGGTCTTCTATAAGTGGATAGTGGACAGCTTTAAAAAATTTCAAACTTTAAATACAGAGTAAACACAATCTAACTATATAAAATTAAGCTATACATAGGATATGTCTTTTAGGAGACCGCAGCCTTATATTTTTAGTAGACACCCCAAAACGGTCAATACCAATTTAATCCGATTTAAAGACGTCAAGCCGATCGTAGATGCGTATCGTGCTCGTAATTCAAACGTAAATGTCCAAGAGAATTATTGCTGTTGTGAAAAATTCATTGCTCAATAAAACTCGCTTGTATTTGACCAGCGGTTTTATGTAGAACTAGAATTAAACAGATCACATCGTTAGAAGCACAGAATAGAATGTCAACGCGAGTGTTGGACTACGACTGGAACGAGACTGGCGTGGCTACTCCAAATTGGAGTATTAAATAATATTGTACATAAATAGTACCAGCTCGATGAAATTAGATTAAGTCAAAACATGTACATAGCAGTCATTAAGTCAATTATGAGCACCAGAGTAGGATTTGAGTTATGAATACAATATCTCATAAACTAGCTTATAAATAAAAGGCGGCCTCATCGCTAAACAGCGATGTCTTCCAGGCAACGTAAAGTGAAAAACAAAAGACGACCATGGGTAGGTGTTAAGGGCAATCATGAAGAAAGGCAATTAAGTACTTGAAAGATAATATTTGAACTGAGTAATTTTCTAATACTGGTTTTAATTTAAATTATTTATAGCGCTAATTCAATTGAGCATAAGTTACACAAAAATGTGAGGATGAGATTTGAACAACTGTGACCGAACAGTCCTTCTGGTTTGCTCAGTATTCTGTGGTCACTCGTATACACTTGTTTACTAACCATATCCCCAATCCCCTTGCAATATAAGGGTGTTATGGTCGCAATTTTAAACAGCTTACCTCATTAACTGGCCGCCGCTTGTTCGTTTTAAACTCGGGAGTTGTTGTTTGTGTGTAAGATTTAGTTATTCGTTTGAAACTGAAGAGATTTTCGTTTTCTACCTGAGTACTATGTGCGTTAGTAAAAATCACTTTTAACGGTTTAAAAGGGTGAAATTGGCTCTTTACAGTTACTGTAATGAACGTACGAATAATTATAATAGTATATAGTGTAGAATAACTAACTTTTATTTATCTTTAGTAGATCAACATTAAAAATAGAGAGAATATATAACATTTTCATGATTATCTGTGAATATATTTTTTTCGTCCCAATGTTTATGTTTTCTATTTTTGTTGCAGAACATGCGCGATGGCGGGCCACTTTAATAACGGAGGTGAGTTATTTTTATAGAATAAACAAATATCGCTCGATTGATATTCCGTTTAGACCCTACAAATAACTAGACGATCTAAACACACTCTCTGTACAGGTAGAATGTTCAGCAATCATACAAAACATAAAAATCCTTAATTTTTTTCCTCGTTTCAGCCCACTTTAATATATTCTTGATTCGCACTCTCGTTAAGGGCCATACTGGTCTAGAGAGAGGGTAGAGTCAGAAACGTCTTACACTCGTGAGGTCGGGAGTTCGATTGTTGATCGAGTAAAACGAGTTCTACGTAAGGAAAAAAATTAACGTCATCAGACAACCATCTACCAACGTTTGGCCAGCGTAGATTAAGGCCTATATATTTAGTATGTAGATAAAATCCCAGCTAGCTAATGGGAACTATTAACCTTCGTAATGGTAACGCATTACTCACCTAACGAAAAATATATTGATGTTGTAATGCGTCGATTCGGTTTGAATTACGCTCGGTTGCGTGTGGTTGTAGTATTGTTTTGCGTGAGAGACCGCCGCGACAGCAGCAAGCCGCTGCGAGCTGCCCATCGCCCAGCCGAGCGGGCTGCGCTGGCCGCTCACAATGGCTGCCAAGACTAACTGGCTCCAGCAACGCCAGCGATCCACAACCGCTTTCCGCGGCGTCGCCTGCGCGACGACCGCAACTCACCAGCGATTCCTTCTTTTCCTTCCTTAGGTCTCTCTATTCTGCTATCAGCTCGGATTCGATTTGGGCCACTTGGTTATGCACCACATCTGTAATAAAGCGTAATAATTAAAGTTAAACATTTTTAAAACAATATTTTATTGATTTCTAGTAACCCAAGTGCTAAAAAGAGAAAATGCTGCCCTAAAAAACGTTAATATCGATTTTCGTAACTATTATCATTTCTTGTTTTATTTCTATTCAGGACGCTACAGAAAAGCAATCCGCAGTTAGTAGAATTATCATTGAAATTTAATAAGTATATATTACAGCGATAACTGTAATATATACTTGTGATAAATCTAGAATTTAAATAATTTAAGGAGTTGGTCATAAATTACCATTATAATAATAATCTATACATTTGATTTTAAATTAAGTTTTAAAATACGAAGAATACCTTAACGTAATTTAATATCCGTTTTCCTCTTTAACAAAAGCTTGATTCAGGATTTGAGCGAAACCTTAGCTACAATCTGAGCTGAAAAGTAAATCCCACGTTACCAGAAACTATCCATCATCCACTTTCCGAGTAAATCGTGACCAAGTTTCAAACCGCGTGAATTTTATATATCGTTGGTCTAATGGTAGCAACGCTAATAAACAACGGGTCGTGGGTTCGGTCTACACCCGATCGAACGTGTTTCAAATTTTTCTGAAACATGCATGGACTTCGTCTGGAAACTGGATATTAAATGGGAATATAGAAATTCAGTCCGGGTCACGAACCACCGGCCACAGATGAAAAAACCGTGAAGCTTAATCGCGTTTCGGGTTCAGCTTGTGGATTTCCAAATATCCAAAGCCAAAAAAGGTCGACAGCGCATCTTATTTATATGCTATAGGCTGGGGTATATCACCTACCATCAAGTGGACCCCATGCCATGTCTGTCGTCCTCATTAAAAAACTAGTTCATTCCTCCACCAGCGTTTACGCTAAATGTCAATTTGTCAGTAAAAGACCGATGGTGGCAATTAGCGCGGACCATTATTAATGAAACGACCGTCAATAGCACGTAAAATTTTCTAATTACCACCACTTTTATTGAGTTTCCGTTAAAAATGCAAATTAAATGGTCTTCGAGTTTAGAGAAACGGTTTTAGATAAAGCACATAATATCGGAATATGTTGGGATAATGAAACTTCGTTCAGATTTTAATGATGAACCGGATTTACATTTAAAATGCTCAGGTTATGCTTAAAAGTATTGACTCCGTGGCTCAATGGTTATAGTACATGCGTTATTAATCCTGGATTCATATTGCGGAAAATAAAATAGTTTTGGATTTGACATAATATTTGACAATGTATCTAATACAGAAACCGGAAAAATCACTTTTAACAAACAAACAAAACGACTATCTAACTTTATAATATTAGAATAGATTTAAAATTTCAGTCTCACTTTATCGAGGGAGAGTTAAATAAAAATATACATAAATACTGTCTGTAGTTTACGCGAGTAACACACATTTAAATAAAACATGCAAAGCATTCCAAGCGTCGGGCCGTAGTAAAAAATTATAACAATTAACTAAAATATATCGCATTTTAAACCGTTAAAGTGTGCTTTATTTAAAAATATATCTTAAAAATTATGTTTTCTGCTATTTGCTTGCTTTTTTTGCACATTTTTTTTATATTTCTCCGATTACTTGTGCGAATTTTGGGACAACCTTGAGCCAACGATCTGATCTACGTATGACATCTAACGAAGGCTACCTTTTAACTGAAATAATACGCTCAATTACATATAAAAGACGATTTCTATGCGGATCACTCATAAAACTTAGCTCTTTATAGCTCTGGGTAATAATGGCGATTTTGAACGGCCATTAAGAAGAGTTAAGCACGCTTGAGCAATCTTATATCGCTATATTATTGTATTTCTGATACTAGGAGAGTATAAAACGTGAAAAGGTGACGTCAAATTTAAAAAGCTAGAGTCAGAAAGACGCGAGTTTCAGGGGATAATTAACAATATAATAAAAGGAAACACATCTTCCATTAGATCTACTAAAGAATATTTATGGCAATCGTTTAGATCGAGGCATTACAATGTTGTCGTAAGGTCTTAGGAGTTCGAATTATTTTACAATAGTTAGAACAAAGAATTTTGTCATATAGTTTTAAAACGGATTAGTGTGATTTTATTCCGTGTTAGTAAAAATAACAAAACGCCTTATGTAGATTTATAATGCTTTTAATTACTATTTGTAATTATCGCACGCGTGAACTTAAAAAAAAATATACTGGACGGGCTTGAAAGTATTTAAAATTGGGAAAATTATTCATCATTATGGATTTCCGAGGTACTGCAAAAACGGTTGGATATCTTGATCCAAAAAATATGTATGAAAGAGTTATTTATTTTTAAATGATCTAAAAAAAATGACTTTGATGCGGACGAAGTCGCTGACACAGCTAGTGCCTTATAAAGAGCTCATTGCAATGTATGATAATGGTATAAATGGATTTTATATATTTTTAATATTAACAACATTGTTAGGCTTTTCCCCTGAAGTTATAAACATCAGGTAAATGCGTCTAAATTTCATTATCGTTACATTTGCAAATAACTAAAGTGGTCCATTAGTGAATTAAGTAACTTGTCGTGTTATTTATAATGGTTTACAACATCGTACGCGGTGCTGGCTGAACTGTATACATATAGTTAATGGTAGAATAAATTTATACTGGGTGGATTCTAATTTGGAAACTACTTAAAACATATTTTAATTCTACTTTAAATATATGCATTATTTAAATATATTTTAATATTTTATAGATTATATAATTTGTTACAGAGCGACTGTATTAATCAAACTTAATGAACATTTAAATTCGACAATAGTAGAAAAGGGAGGTTACTTATTTTATATTGTTTATGTATCATTTTAAAACTAAGCAAAATTGGTAGATTCACAGTTCTATTAAACTCTATATTTGTCCAAAATAATTAGCAAATTTAATATGCTGTTTACTGCTAGTACTTACACTCGCATCACAATTTTTACAGCAATAATGCGAACATTGGCCATTAACACTTGTTTTAATTGCAGTAGTAGAAATATACGATTTTTCGATATTAATTTGCTTTATCAAGCATCATTTTTAATCACTACCGCGTGTGTCACAACTGTATTTTTTTATTATTTGATGTATCACGATTTTGTAACCAGCCAGAATCGTATCAACACATTAAATACGTTTTAAATATTTACCTTAAAAGTTACGAATTTAAAAATAGAAGCGTGTTTTTATCGCGAGAAAGTTTATTCGTATTTCGGGAGACCGCGCGCGACTCTCACCCTCAAGGCTTAAACACCGAGTGGAGGCTTCCATACAACCCGCCCCAGATAACAGACACCCAGCTTACAAATATCGGCCAACACACAATGATATTGGTCGCATATAATACTTTGAAAGATTTTCGACTTAGGTATGTAGTACACTTGTCAGTGTTCGTCTCTTCGAAATATAAAATCTCAGGAACTACTGGTTCGAATTTAAAAATTACATTTGTGTTAGTTAGAGCATTTATTGAGGAAGACTATAGGCTATAACATATGCGATGTGACTAATAGACGCGAAGAAACAACGGGAAATGTTAAGAAAACACGAAACGACACTATATCTATCTTTTAAGATTAACTTGCAAGAATGACGTCGTGGGCAATAGCTTAAATTTCATTTATTTAAAAAGTCTAGCTTTAATTATGGTTTTACATTAAATACGTATTGTTTATATTGGGTATGAACAACATTACGAAGAGTCTAAAGATAATGTTGAACCAACATTGCCGGATCGACCAATGTTGGCCGCACTTGGAATGTTGACGCCAACAAGTAAACTCTATGTCACTTCGCGTGTAGCCGTCCTCAACGCTGCCACTAGGTAAGTCATCGCTGACCTTCCCTTCCTTGCACGCTCACTCCTATTTTAAGCTTTATCACATAGGAATACGTTCTAGTTTAGCTTGCGATAAAAAATTAGCTTTATTTCGTGTATCTTCGTGACCATTCCGATATAGCGCGTGCTGTTTAATTATTAATTCGTCGTTCTGCTTCAAATTAATTTCGTATTTTTAGAACATTTTTCGTTTAAAGTACGCTTTGTCCGTAGAGGTATTGTGACTTTAATGCGCATGCGCAAACCCGTCGGCGCTATGATACTCGTGTGTCTGTAAGTGACTGAAAAACTTGAAGAGTACTTCGGAAGAGATTTAAATCTTAAACGTGTCTATATTGATTCCGTTTTATACTACGTTGTTAAGTTTTATGTAACTTGAAGATATTTAAAACACGTAACAATGGCTTAAAATGTATTAGAACTTAAATAGTTTCGGTCGGGCAAGGCACAGTAGTCTACGCTACTAGGCTAGGCTAAGTATTATATTTTACCGTCTATAAATACATTCTCATGAAAATTATAGAGTTATACACATAAAAAGAAGGGCATTTATTAATGAGCCATACTGTATTCTGTTATTACAGCTACGAACATTATTATGAAAAAAACATTGCGACCGTAGCCATAGAAATAAATAATTGGACTAGAGGAGGTCGCGTCGTATATTTTGATTCTATGATTTAGTAAGGATTATTTATTCCTGGAAAAATCCAGATTGTAAATACCAGGACTGTAGACGTTTAGATAGCTATAAAAGTACTATTCACTGTGTATATTTACAGACTATCAGAAATAAATAAATAACTAACTTTAATAACTGTCTGTAGTTACGCGTGCCACCATGACCACGACTGTAAAGCATCCGAAACGTCGGCCCGTAGTTGAAATAGATTGTAAATAAGTTCAACGCGATACATTTCGCGTTTTAAACCGTTAAATGTGTTTTTTTTGTCTAACTATTGTCTGGCAGATGTGTATATGCCGATGACGTAACTACATATGCGTTTTTTTTGTTTATATATCACATTTTCATACAATATCTCATAACTTCGTGTAAAACTTTTTATACCAAATACGAAATAGTTACTTCGAATAATTTACTATCGAGATTTAAATATTTTGGGTGAGATTTTCGTTTTTAAACGTCGCCAACCGCCACAATTAAGACGAAATACTTACATGTAACAATAATTTTTTATAAAAGAGAATGATAATTTTACAGACCCGTGCCGACGGCTGCCGCAAAGCATCTGAAACGTCGGGTCGTAGTTACAATAACGTTTAAATAAGTTTAACTAATATATATATTGCGTTTTAAACCATTAAAGTGTTTGTTTAAATACAACTCACGTAAACTACAGACAGTATTTGATTTTAGATTTGCAAAAATTCGATGGGAACGAGTTTCACTCAGTTGTGATTCGAACCCG